GTCAAAACTACATTCAGAAGTAATAAGTTAGGCAAATATTCCTTCCACTGTCTATAATTTTTTTATCTATAATTTCCCTGAATTTTATAATATTCCCTGAATAATTTTATACAGATGCTGTAATAATGCTGATTCTGGGAAATGCTGTCTCATGTTAGACTGAATTTTCTCTGAACCTGTTTTTCCTTCCTGTGAAAACTTGCAGGTTTTTACTGCTGATGAATCTGCACAAATTGGCTGCATAACCAAGCAGTGGCGAGGATGCTGTGCTGAGGCATTTACAGATGCTGACAGCTTTGGAGTCACCTTCCCCATGGATCTGGAAGTACGCATGAAGGGCTCTCCTCATTGGCGCCATGTTCTTGATTGTAAGTTCTTCATTGTGTCTTTTAACTTAGTGCAGGGAAAGTAAAGACTATACTTTGTCTACTCATTATTCAATTCATCAAAGGCAGAAGTGTTGCAGCATATGTTGAAATACCATACCTGTTATCAGAGGGGGCACTATAAAGCTAGTACTGTGAAATTTAACTTTCTATATTTGCCACACGTCCATAGTTGTAGTTGGTGAAAATGTTGTCTGATTTCTATATTATTATTGCTATTATGCTGCTGCTGGCTGCTGTTGCTGCTGCTGCTGCTGATGATGATGATGATTATAATAATAATGATAATATTGTTAATATATTAATGCTAAAGGTGATGGAAATGATAATGAATAAAATCATGACAATACTGATAAAGTGGATGCCTTGTATTTTATATTTTCTTTTGTAATTTGCAGGACTTCATGTACTTTGAGCGGAAACAGAATAATTAAAATACAGTTCTGCCAGTCATCGGAGACCATCATAAGCTGACTAATCTGGAGAAGTGATTGCAAGTGACTTGATATTCTCTGAGTTGATACAGTACAATGTAGTACTTATATTTTAATTATTTCAAGGGATATATGTTATACTGCATTTATATACTTTCAATATGGCATTGTGTTTATGCCATTTATTATTTTTTTCAAAGAAGTGGGAGGAGGTTTCTGATACCTCCTATTCAATACATTTTATACTGAAGGAACACTTTTAAATCATTTGGGGAAAGCTATTTTAATTTTCTCTGTAGCCAGTGACATCATTTATTGGTGTTTGTTAATTTTTCATACATGAGTTATTGTAATGATTAGATTAGAGGTTAAACACTGCATACAAAGTTTAGTTGTATTAAGATTTAAGTTGTATTAAGATTTATATGGTGTAAATGTTTCTATGTATCACTTGATATATAAGTATATATGTAAATGTACATTTGTATATGTAATAATATAATGTATGTATCTATCTCTATATCTATATATATATAGTAAAAAATTTATATCTATATCATCTCCTATATCTATCTTATACTATCTATATATCTCTCTCTATCTCGTCTATGTGTCTATCTATATCTGTTTCCATCTATTCCTCTCATCCTGTGATAACTCTATATCTCTATCTTACTCTCTATCTCTCTCTATATCTCTCATCTATCTCTCTCCTCTTATCACTCTATCTCTGTGTCTCTAGCTATATCTCTCTCTACTCTCTCTCTCTCCTCTATCGTCTACCTCTATATCTCTCTCTCTCTATCTCCTCTGTGTCTCTCTCTATCTGCTCTCTCTTCTTATCTCTCCTTCTATCTCTCTCATCTTTCTCCTCTCTCTTCCTCTCTCTCTCTATCTCTTGTTGGTCTTACTCTCTCTCTCTCATCTCTCTCTCTCTCTCTCTCTCTCTCTCTCTCTCTCCTCTTCTCATCGCATCTCTTCTCTATCTCTCCCTCTCTTCTAGGTGTCTCTCTCTATCTCTACTTCTCCTCCTCTCTCTCTCTCTCTCTCTCTCTCTTCTCTCTTCTCTCTCTCTCTCTGTCTCGCTCTCTCTCACTCTCTCTCTCTCTCTCTCCTCTCCTTCTCTCTCCTACTCTCTCTCTCTCTCTCTGTCTCTGTCTCGCTGTTCTCTCTCTCTCTCTCTCTCTCCTCTCCTGTATCTCTGTACTCTCTTGTCTCTCTCTGTCTCTTTCTCTCATCTCTCTCTACTCTCTCTTCCTCTCTCCTCTCCTCTCCTCTCTCTCTCACTGTCCCCCCCCTACTCTCTCGCTCTCCTCTTCTCTCTTCCCCTCTCTACCCGTCCGGTTGTCTGACCCCCTCCTCCCTCACCTCTCTTCTGTTCCCTTTTTCTGTACTGCTGCTTTCTTTTCCTGCTTTCCCGCTGCGCCCCCTTCTTCCCCCCCTCCCCCTTGGGCCCTGTCCTGCCCTGACTTCCATGACCTTCCATGCCCCTCCATGAACTTCCCTGCCCTTCCGTCCCCTGCCGCCGCTGTTGCCTCTTCCCCGTCTGTCACTGATAATTAGAACTAGAAATTTTATTAATGGATAAATGCTGAAGTTCAACATAGGTTATATAATTGCCCACACAAAGATTTTGTAAGATGATTCCCTCTGATTGAATACCTTTTATGATGGCTGTCTTTGATTTTTAAAAACAAAGCAAAGCAAAAAAAAAAAGTGAACAGATTTAAAGAGGTACCTGGCAAGAAGTGACAAAGAATGTAACTCAGGAATAAGTTTTAGCTGTGTTGTATTATGTCTGCTAAACACATTACATAAGACACCTGAATGTTCATTTATTTTTTGTGTGTATTTTCATGATGTAAAATGGACAGATAGTATATATTGGTGTATACTTATCTCTCTGTCTCTGTCTCTGTATCTCTCTCTCTCTGTATCTGTCTCTCTCTCTCTGTCTCTCTCTATCTCTCTGTCTCTCTCTCTCGCTCTCTCTGTCTCTCTCGCTATAACAATCTCTCTCTCTCTCTCTCCCTAATCTATTCTCTCTCTCTCCATCTCTATATCTCGATCTACCTCTCTATCCTCCCTCATCTCTATCATCTCTCGCTATATAATCTCTATCTCTCTCTATATCCCTCGTCTCTCTCTCACTTACATATCATCTATCCCTCTCTAATCTCCTCTCTTTCTCTCTCTCTCTACTATATCTCTCTCTCTCTCGATCTATCTCGCTATCTCTCTCGCATCTACTCCTCTCCCTCTATCTCTCTACTCTCTATCTCTCTCCTCTCTCTCTCTCTTATCTCTCTCTGTGTCTCTATCTATCTCTTGTCTCTTCTCTCTCGCCGCTTTCTTCTTGTGTTTTTTTCTCGGTGCTTCTCCTACGCTCACACCTGGCCGTCGGCCCTCCCCCCCTACTTTTTGTATCGTTGCTGTGTTGCCCGGCTCCGCCGGGGAACAGTAAGGATCACAGTACATGATGTGGATAGGTGTGGCCCGGACAGGACGGCGGAGGGAGTGAAGGGGAGCAGCGTTACCAACAAGTCCTACAGATCAAACGGCCATGAGAGAGATAATTTAGAATGGTATTACCACTGCAATGACAGAAATACTTGATTGTTCTCAATTTCTAGGAGTGTGATAAAGCCAAGTTACTTAAAATTAACTCTCCTAATACTTTCTAGATGCAATCTGAGTAATGGATTATAGCAAGTATAGGAGTAATGTTTATATTTTATTGGGTCAAGTCACACTAATTCTTATTCATTCTCTGTGTCTCTAGAACTTATTTTTCTTACTACCATTTTTTTTTATTACATTGCAACCAACTGAATGTGTAATCATGACATGTGAATGCTGTAAATCATAAGATATGCTTACATAATATACTGTTTGTTCACTCATGATAGAACCCATATTATAATATTGTTGATGGAGTTATTACATCCATCTCTTACCTCTTCAGTGAAGATGAAAAAGAAGGTTTTCTATTTTATGTGTAGGTTATTCAAAGGCTGTTGTTTGCTACACTCGGAACTGTCAATTCACTTACTCCAAAGGGTATTGTTTTTTTTATGTGTAATGTCATAAATGATTATCAGTATTTGGATGCAAAAAATACTTTGGTATCCAGCAGCAAACATGTTTCATTTGAAAGAAACTCTTTGTATGATGTTTATTATAAATTATAAATTGGTTCTTGGTGTACTTGCACTGATGATTGGTAATCACCATTAATAAAACTTAGATTATGCCTCTCTTCATAACTGTTTTACATAATGTAATTTCATGTATATGTATAGTATTTCTGGTGGAAAATCAAGTTATGTTGTACTATTGTACCATTCAAAATCCACTGAATTTTAAAACTTAATAAAATAGTATCTAATGTGGGAAAGTCAGTTGATTCCTTTTGATAACCATTTTCTTTATGATATTGTGACAGTCCATTGTTTAAATCAATCTAATCATCTGATAAATGAATATATGATTATATTCTGAATTTTTTATTTTACTTTTTCATTTTTTACATATCTTTTAATTGAAATTTTCATATGAATGTAAAGCATGCCTTTGAGCAGCAATTGCCTTATAAATACATTGTCTTACCAGATGCCTATCTAATCTAACTCCTTACCACACCCGACCTTAACCCTTTCACTCACCAATTCCTTTGCCCAACTTAGACAACTAATCACTAAGTCAACCACCCTTCACTAACATTAACTATAGTGCTACATGACTGAAGATGTCTAGCACATTTATCTTGTTTTTAACCATTAACCATTAACCATTACCAGATGCCTCCTAAAAGAATTCCGTCCTTAATAGGCTCAGGTATGTCATAAAGGATCTCCTAGTTTTCTACATAATCTGCAATACTTTTGGTTGAAAAATGATTCAGTTTCCTTACATGTTCAAGCAGAGTAAGTGTAAAAATACAATTTATCCATGACTAATCTAAACAGAAGCCTTTGTAGCTAGGTGAAAGGAAATGCCTATTATAGTTTTTACTCTCAACTGCATGGTATGATATAAAAGGAGTATTTGGTCAACAACTATTTTCAAAATGCATTTTCAATCTGTTAACCGACAGGCATCATACTGTCAAAGCTCTTACAGCTTTAAATGTAGATAGCAGTTGTTTTCACAGATTATTATTTATGTAAGAGTTTATTTCATGATCTAGTAATGAAATTGAGTGTCACCAAATTACCACATCAGAAGTAATTACACAAAGACAATTGTATGTAAAGTCTGCTAAACTTATAACGCTATCATTTTGCTTTACCACACAGTAAATTGTATGAGACAAGAAGCCTTTGATCAAGAC